AAATACAGTCGACTCTCGTTATTTCGAAATTCAAGGGACTCTTMAAATATTTYGAATTGTCGAGTGTTTARCCATATGARTACGAATTACCGCGTCTTAGCAATGATTTTTAGTTCGAATTACTGAGTGATAACTTTGAATTAATGAGAGGTTCGAAATAACTCAGGTTTGAAATAACAAGAGTCGACTGTCTCTTATCAATGATATTTTAAATTTTGAAAAAAATATCTAAATGATATTTGACAAGCAACGTTTAAATATCAGTATATCAATGTTTTTCGGTATATTCATATTTTTTCCAAACTTTTTTCCCACAATATATACATATAATATCTATATAATCTATTTAAATGATAAAAACTGCTTAATACAGTATGGTATACTTAAAAGCATAATAGTGCTTGTTTTTCAAATGCGACGCCATATAGGAGGCGTGGCAGATCCCACAAAGTATATATTCTATGAACGCGTCGATCTCAGAAGATATAAGAGCTAGAGACTTCAAATTTTCCAAGGTCCGTGTATATCACGCGCATATCAAGTTTTGCTCTAAATGTCGATAACTACTCCCGATATTTTATTATCGTTTAAAAACCCAATCGAAAGCTAGTTATTTGTTTATATCATCTACACCTTTAGAGCTCGAGTTTCCAAATTTTAAATGTAGACTTATATGTATTTTATATAATTTCGATTTTTGTTATAATTTATTCCCCACCCTTCTATCCACCCCGTCACTCTCACCTTTGAAAAATGCATATTTCAAATACTAGAAACTTGTGCTTTAAGATATACACGAACTTTAATGTTATATTAACGATTTAAAAGTTTCATAAACATAGTTCATCAACAAGAAAAGTTATGTTTTTCTATGCGTGTGCTTCTTGTGTAAGCAGAAAGTCTCGAGGAATTATTGTAAAATACCAATTCTTCGAAGGGCAGCAGTCTCGACCAGAGCTTTCTTACTTGTTTTTAATATTATATTATATACATAAATATATTTTGTATACAAAAATATCGATGTATTGATATTTTGATATATTTTCAACAACCATAGTTAAATTTCTATTTTGATGATAACTCATAGAATTTCAAATCAAATATTGCTTAATGTATTATATTAAATATATGAACATATTGTCTGAAGATCGGTTTTTGGGATTTGACGCAGAAGGACGATTACCTAAAATATATTCATTCTTGATCATAATCAATAGGCTCACCCTATAGCATTTGTTTGTCAAGTTTAATTTAAATATTCAAATTCGTGAAATCGACGTTCTGCAATTGTGGATTACCTATTTTGGATACCATTAAAAACTTCGGAAATATTTTTTAGTTTTTCGATCTTCTTTCATATTTAATTAAAAAATAGAATCACAACCCCATTTCATCACAAATCGATCCATTGTTCTATTGTTCAATTAAATATGAAAGAAGATATGTATATATCTGTCCTTCAACTGACTTTTTCTATATATGTATGTATATGAATGCTTGCAAAATACTATTTACAACCAAACAATGCAAGAAATTGTTTTAAATCTGTTTTTGGTGTGTGTTTTAAATGTTTTGATTTCAGCCACGATATGTATCAACATTTCTATCCAGTTTAGCACATGAAAGTTTTCACCCGTCATAATTTATTAATTTGTAGTCGAAAGCGAAACCGTAAGATACACCTTCAGTACGGGTATTGAATATTGAATAAAAAAAAGTAATTTAAATGATTAGATGGAATCTTTTTAATTATATTAATTATTATTTATTACTTGTTTTACAATAAATGCAATTGAAATCGATACTTTCCCGAGTTTCTGAAGTAATTAATTTTTAAAATTTATTAATTTTAAATATTTATAAACATTAGAATCGATTTTCGTATAAAACAAGTAAAAATGATCTAGTTGAGACTGTTTGACTACGAGATCCCCTGAACCCTTCGAGCAACTGATATATCAATGTTTCTTCGCGTCTTTCTGCTCGAAGGGTTCAGGGGATTTCGTAGTCGAGCAATCTCGACTACAGCTTTCTTACATGTTTTGGTATTACAACCATTCGAATTTGAGCCTATATTTTGTTGTCCCCATTGGTATTTTGTAATATTTATTTTTGGCTAAATTTGTTTATCTTCTTTTATCTTTTAAATGGTTTCATACGGTTTCATTTTCATTATATACGTATATAGTAGATGAAAATACTTTATATCTCGTAAATCTGTGCAAGTTTCACAAACTGTTGTTCTATTCAAATGAATACTAAGAAAAAAAATACACA